AGATTATTCTTTGCCTCAACTTTGGAATGTGACAAAACAATAGAGACGATCTTGTCCAGATCATTCTTGTATTCGTCCCGTAAAGCATGGACAGCTTGCTTCTTCTTCACATTTGTCCGAATTCGAAAACAACACTTCAACATCATGATACTTGCTTAACAAATAAATGATATCATTCCACTTTATGTGTTTTAGACACAAACATATCGTTTAAGAATGTCATTCACGGGAGCGATCACAGATTTAAAACTTGAAAGGTCTGAAGGTTTTACAAAATCGAGAGAATAATTATCCATTTCTTTTAATCGTTTAGCAGGATATTCTAATCCTTGACTATGCGTCTCATTAGAAATTCTCAATAAAGCTGCTTCAAGTTTTGCCGGGATTCTTCCGGAGAGTGCTGAAAGTACTGCATGAGATTCTAAATAAGGAAGATCGGAATTTTCTAAAAGTTCGATTAATTCTTTGACACTACTCTGTAACATTGCTTGATTATCATAACCATCCAATATACATTCAAGGATATGCTTGACCCCACAATATCTCTGATGAGCTTTGTCACCAACTAAAACGGGCGGATTCATTGCAGGAAGTTGTCCCTCAAAAGGTAACGCGTGACGAACTCGACTAGGGTCATCAAGAGTGAGAATTCCAATAATGTCACCGGATTCGAGCGTAGAATTTTGTTGCTTTATAAATTGAACAATACCATCTTCTGTTGCGATGAGCGGCATGTACATTTTCATCACCTAAATAATAATCAATGTTAAATAATTTAGATGATAGAAAAAAAAAATTTAAAATGATTCTTTTACGAATCGATAAAAATTGTAAAACTTACTTCAATTTCAGCGTAAGCTTCACCTCTTTTTACATGATCGCCAGACTCCACCAAAAATCTCACAAGCTTTCCGGGAGAGAGTGAACGAAGTTGTGTTGGATCATTCTCTTGTTCAAGTAAACAAGTTTTACTATCAATCATCAATCTTATTCCTTGAACTTCTTCGCGAAAATAACAAGTATGGCTTTTTCCGTCTAACAAAACTAATAACCCACCATCGGTAAGAGCACGAACAGAAACTTGAACCTTTGATCCATTCAAGTAAAGCGTGAAAGAATCTGGAGCTGATCTAGTAGCGGTAAATTTATAATGGACAACTTCATAAATGAAATCGATGATGAAGACGGTGCGCAAAATATCTTTGCTAGGGATTTGTCCTTTCTCCAAGAAACGTTTATATTCCATTATAGATTCCATGGCTGCTGTATAAGCCTTGGTCACCGCACCGCATATCACAGCCAACATTTTATCAGGCTTTTCGGCCGTTAGATTTTCATCAGATATTAACATGTCCAACCATCCCGTTGTAAAACTATTTTCTTCGAAAGCTTGGGTTTCAAGTAATTTGATTAAATATTCCACTGTGGTTCTAAAGTCCCCACGAATTGACAATTCCTTAAGCGCGACTATCATATTCTTTCGAGATTGTTGACGATTCTCACCATAAGCGAAAATGTGACCAAATTGAGAATCAGCAAACTCATGAAGGCCACCGGCAGAATTAACCGAGAAATATCCCCAAACATTCGTGCTGCTGTGAAAATTAAGTTCATGCACCATACTGCGGTTTAAATACTGCGTCAGGATTTTCCGCTGTTATACGAACGGCTATTACTTGACCTTTTGTTGCATGTCTACTTTGAGTTTAAAGAGACTCGGGATCCGAAAATCAAAATCGATCCACTTGAGGTCAACTCTAATATCACGAATTTGATGAAGTGAAATCCACATAGCAATTTGTAATTGAGCAGCAGGTAAATTAACACCTGAAACCATTTCTGTCGTAGGATGTTCAAACCTGTAATCTTGGATTTAATTCAAGTCAAGAAAACAAAAAATCTTTCTCGTGACTGTAAAAGATATTCAATGGTTCCCGCACTAACATAACCAACTAATTTAGTTAATCAGACAGCAGCCCTTTCCATCGATTCAAATGTCTCTTGTTTTGCAATCGTAACGGGAGCCTCTTAAATGATCTTTTGATGACGTCTTTGAACCGAACAATCTCTTTCAAATAATGGATCGCATTTCCGTATCGATCCGCTAAAACTTGAACTTCGAGATGACGAGCATCTCGAGCAAGTGGCATGATGAAAATCGGTGAACCGGGAACTTCACCTTGAACTTGAGCAAATGCTTGCTTAATTATCTGGATTTTACACTTTCTAATTCTTTTTCTCCTCCACCCTCTGAAGTTTTGATCATATAGGATATTTGTTATATTTAACCCATCATCAACGTCCTTGATGCATGCCTCTTCGAAACACTTTCGGAAACAATAACATGACCTTGTACCTCCAATCCATCGTAGGAACATTTGCAGATTGAGCAATGATCGTAGATGATATTTTATCACCTAACGAACGATCGCTGAACCGGGAGGACCAATGAAAACTATCTTATGTTTACTCTGCGCTAATGAATAGGGTTCTCGGATGCATGTCCCCTAAAGATGAGAAAGATCAAATCATATTTCATTAATTTAAAAGAAAATTAATTAATATATATATATATATGTGCTTACCAGCCAGCCCAAACAAGTACGTTCGGCGAAATACTCAATTAATGAAAAATTAGCATAATTATTATTATTTGAACTGCCAGGTACTTCAATATATTGATCAGCCATACGAATATATTCAGCATTAATCTTAAATCTTCAGGAGTAGCCATCACAGTAAACTGTATGGTCCTTTCATCACCAAATGTTTCATAAGCCTATTTTCTAATAGATCTAATCCCTTTAACAGCCGCTATACCATTATTCGCTATTAAAATTTTTGTGAATACAGTGTGACCATTAATTCTCTTACGAGACTCCTTTAAGCATTTGTTAAATCATTCCCTTCTGAAAATATCATCGAAACAAAAAAAAAAAATAATAATAAAATGGTAGATATGAGTGAAAGTAAATATGGAGAAAAAAAAGAGAAAAGAATTAAAGATGATGAGTAAGTTACGTAGTTAGTAACCGAAAAATCGATTCGAATAACTTTTGGTGAAATTTATTTAATACAAATTATAAAACAATTAGAACATAATCACAATTCGAATTCAAAGAATCGATGCATCGTAGATAAAATATCTTACCAATAAATTGTTTAATATTTTGATTCATAATATAAAATGTAACGAAGTCGGATAAATTAATATTTTTTTTCTTTTTTTTTTTTTTTACAATGTAAAAAAAAGTGATTTTCTTTATTCCGTTTTATTAAATTAAATCGATCGATTTGTGTATCTAAGTCTGGAGCTTGTGTAATGAAAGTTGCTCATTCTGATTAAATCTATTTTAAAAAATCTAAGCCACATATTGATGCATATTTTCCTTTTTTACTAGATTACGATGAATTCAGATCCTTTAAAAAATGACATGAAATTTTTATTTTTGTTTAGGTAAGGTTAATATATTATCACGAAGTAATCATATGACTTTTTAGAAAATAAATAAAAAAATTCCTCTCCTTAAAAAATTTTAACATATTTGTAAGAAAAAGATTAAATAAATGAATCATGCAAAATCAATTTATTTTTTTTTTTATTTATTTTTTTGTTAAATAATGCTTTATTTTAAAAGAGATTTTTTTTAAAAAAAAGTATTATCCAAAAATAAAAGTTACTTAAAAAAAAAAAAATAAAAAAAATAATGTATTTTTTTTTATTTAATATAGCAAAAAAATGCTTTGCAAGTTAGATATCTTTTATTACATTTATATTTTGTTAGAAAAAGTCAAGCAAGATTTTATCATTAAACAAATTACAGGTCTTACTAAAATGGATGAATCAGATCTTACAAAAGTAACTTATCTATAAATAAAAGTATTCATTCAAATACATTAAATATAAAATCCAACTATTTGATACAAGTAATATCATTTACCTAAAAGGTAAATTCGTAAATCCTCTAACTGGTACTCAGTAAGCTTATCATTCATAAAATTATTTTTTACTTAAAAAATAAATCAATTATTATAAATAAAAAATAAACTTTATTAGTAAAATGCGAATAAAGGTTAACATAACAGTATTACTATAAGTATTATGAATTTTGATTGAGTTTCATACTAATCATAAGAATAAATGTAATAGTGATATGCATAATAACTCAAATTGTAAGGAATATAGATAGCAAGTTCACACTAAATTTCTATGTCAAGAATGACTTAAAGAAAGAAAATTCCATAATTTTTATTTGAAAGTTTATCACAATCTTTTAACATCTATCTTGTAAAAAAATTAATATCATTACTCAAAGCATCAAATCAACCACTACCCTTATAATAGGTAAAGTTCATTACTTACAACTGATTTAGACTCTTTCTCTAGAATAGAAATCTTCTTAGAAAAACACATATTGGACTTTGTCAATATCTTATTAATCCTTACTTCTAATCAAACTTGTATTAACTACTAAACCTTTAATCTTTTATGATCAAATTCTAGTCTAAATCAAAATAATAAAAGATCAAATTGCATTCCAAGATCTATTACTACCTGAAGACCAATAAAGGTCATCAAATATTATTCTGAATTAACTTAACTATAATAATCACTACTAATATTACTTAAAATACCAATAACAAATATATTGAAACAGTCTTAAATATAAATCCAATTTTGTTCATTCTTATTATACTAATAATTACATTAGAAACTAAACAAATATCCTACCAATAAGAAATCTTTAAATTTTAAATATTTTCTTTTGAACCTAAATAGTTTTTATTTTGTAATTAATTAATAAATATTATATTATTTAATCGATTAATTTTTTATACTGACTAAAAAATATATATTTATATGCATATTCTTTTTTCTTATATTATTTTTCAGCTTTTTTTCTAGTCTTGGGATCAATCTGAATTAGTTCAGTTTAATCCTGATTAGGAAGCAATTCCACTAACTTACATTATAAAATAAAATAAAATAAATAAAATATATATTTTTTTATTTTATTTTATTTTTTAAATATAATCAATCCCATATATTTAATAATATAAAAAAAATTAAAAAATTAAAAAATATAAATTTTTGACTTATAAAAAAAAACAAATTAAATAAATAAAATAAAAAACACAAAAAAAAAAATATTCTGTTTTTATTTGATCGATTAAATAAATAAAATTAAAATTAAAATTTGACTCAGATAAAAAAGATAAAAAAAAAATGAATAAATAAACTAAATTAAAATAATAAATTAAATGTATTGTTATATGATACTAATGACTGAAAATTAATATTAATGCAAGATTAACAAAGGATTTAGTTTTAAAACTTATAATACAAGATTTATGAAGAGCTTCTGAAGGTTTATCGATCAATTGTATTTCAAATTAAAGTATGATTTATGGGTTAAGTAATTTAGAGTTTTATTAAAAAAAGAATTATTACAAATATATTTGTTGTATTGTTTGCATACAAGTGTATTTAGTAATTATCTTGTTAATGATAAAACTAAGTAAATTCTTTATTTAAAAGTCTAATGTTATTGAAATTCTAAAGTTACTCTTTTTATTAGGAACTTAATAATATAAATAAATAAAATAATAAATGATAAAAATATAAATAAAAAAATAAGAAATATAATAATTGGTCTTTCATTATATATCTGACAATTATTATATATATGGCAGATTCAATCAATTTGGTAGATTTGGCAGATTTGGAGGATTTGTTAGTTTTAGCAGTTTTGGCAGATTTGGAGGATCTGTCAGTTTTGGCAGTTTTGGCAGATTTTGGCAGATTTTGAGGATCTGCCAATTTTAGCTGATTGGATGAATTTTGTGACAAAGTAAAAATCATGTGATCTATAAGATAACTTTTTAGTTTATTACAGTATATGATTTTTCTTAATAATAAAATAAAAAAAAATATAATAAATATATTTTTTAATATTCTAATTCCAATTAAATTTTTTATTAAATAATTTCAATCAAAATTTATTAAATAATAAAAAAAAATAAATAATAAAAAATTGATAATATAAATTCATTTGACCTCTCAAATCAAATCATCATAAGATTATTTAATTATTTAACTCTTCATTTATATTAACTGATCATTAAAAGAACTTTAAAATTATCATTCTATTAAATCTTCTAAATTTTTATTATAAGCTATTAGATTAACATAATATTCAATTTTGATGATGAATATGAAACAGTATTAGATTAGTTGATGAATAACATATTGATTATGAATAATATATTAATCACATTGAATAATTCCAATATTATTATATGTTAAATCATATCAATACAAGCCTAATTAATCATCTCTTGAATGTAAATTACAAAATGATCACATTATAGACCATTAATAACTTTACAAAGACTTTATGATAGATTTCAAAATAATATTTTAAAATAATTCTCTTGAATCATTTATATATACTATAAAAGACTTTTATATCTAGAAAGCATTTAGGATTTTTTATAACCTATCAATAATTTAATCAATATAATAATACTAGTAATACTTGCTTAAACTTTTTTTTGAAAAATTATAGTTTTATTAAAAGGTTTTTGTCTCTAGTATATTTTTATATGAATAAATATAAAATTATTATATTTTTATAATATATTTTAATTCAAGAAATTCAAATTAAGTTAAATATAATTTTGGCAATTAAGTAAAATAGTTTTATTATTTATAAAAAAACAAGTTTTATTATTTTAGTTTTGTTAGTTTCATCATATTAAGAAATATAGTTTAGTCTTATATTACTAAATGACATATGGGAATGTTTTCAGTAAAATCAAGTCATGAGGCATAGTAAATCATATGATCCATAATGTGATTTTACTGGAAACGCTCCAATATGTTAAATATCTTCTTATTATTCAATTCTAATACTCATATAATCAACAAATTAAAAATACTGACTTGTGAATCATAAAAGAAACAGTTTACAAGATTTTTCTTCCCTTATTTTTCCTATAATACAAAAAATTTTCTCATTTCCTTTGCATAAGAAAAAATATATTTCTCTTGTATAACTAAATTACTCATTAAGTAAAATCACAAACAATAATTCTTTTCTGAATACAGATTCTTAAAGTGAGTAATCAATTACTTTTATAACATTAGAGTTTACATGCTTTACTTCAGAATTTTAGGTGTATTCCTTAATCAATAATAATCTAATTTATAATAAAATCTTAAGACAAGCTGCTATTTAAGCAAAAATATGAATCTTGATCCATCTCATGCATAAATCTAACTCATTAGATTTTGCAAGTTTGTGTATCCTTTTTTATATAAATCTTGATTCAGATACGTAATATTAAAATGTGATATTTTATATTGTAATATGATGATAATACATACAGTGGCTTCCAAAAGAAACGCAAGTGGCATTGCTTGCCTTTAAATGCCTGTAACTCACTGTGCACGAATG